TCAATGGATCGCTGAGGTGCGCAAAACGTCACACCACAGTATGGTCCAGTCTCTTCGTGACAGTGACGATATGTAAATTTACTCAAGTCTTGATCCGACAGAGTAACTTGCATCCAGTTCGAGAGCACTCGTTCAAGCAATTTCAGAGCGAAGGTAGAAACAACTAAGTCAAACTCTGTGGTGTCTTTCTTTGGTATCGGTGTTAGCCACTCACCAACAGTCAGGAATTTTACCAAGTGAAAGCATGTCAGAATACTCCTTGAGCAGCAACGTCAATACACGATCGGGGCTACGGGCTGTCTGAATTCACTAGCCCCATGTTCCTATTCACTTCTGATGCCAAGCGATCCGTGGCAGTACACTCATTGGTGGGTAGGTGGGATAGGTTCAAAATTCACGTTTCCTTTTGCCGAGGTTAAGGGTAAAATTTTGACCCTCCGCCGTATAGCTGCTTCAGAGTCAGTCGTATTTTACGGACGCGCTTGTTGGCGAGTGCCGTATTGATGTAAATCTTGTTGGGGCGTTTTTATTCAGTTCGATTGTCCACGTAAGTTTTCTGACCTCTGCGGAACTTTCTCTTTTGTAAGCGTGCCCTGTTTTCTTCCGTACTAGCTTAAGTACTACATAAGTGAACTTAGCAATGTTGACGTGGATATTCTCAACAGGCAACACAGATCGAAACAAAAACTGATAGTCGTGAGCTGACAACGCACTTGTGTAAATTTCTGCGCACATTAATCCTGTGGTGGGGTATAATTTCGGGGATAGTCGCAAACTAGTGATCGTAGAAAGCAAGTGCGGCGCGCTTTCAAGCAGTCAAGTCAATGGTGCTGTTTACAAACACAGTTTAGATTGGCCTATAGTTGTGTGAGGAATGTGGATTAAGCCAAGTATGTCAGGTAAGAAGGATGAGAGGGCCTATTTAAGTCAGCGGCAAGTGCACAAAATCAAAATGCCGGTGGAAAACAAGTCAACCAAATCAGATATTTCTGTGACTGGAGCATCAGGCATGGTGTGTCTGTATTCCAAAGTTAAGCAACTAATATACGTCGTGGAATGCTTTTATCGGATATGCATGAAACAATATCAATCGGCTTTCACACATGTCATGACGCCGCGTGGTCTGTTGCAAAAGCTGACAGGTTGGTCAGCACGAAATAAACCACAGCTTTCTAACTGCATGGTACAATGACCTAAGGCTGACCTGCTCAGAGCATCATAAATCCGCTATTTCTGTATTGTTTACGGGGCAAAAGCTAGGGTACGTGTACGATCTTAACTGTTGACGAAATAACATAAAGAGATGTTGTAGTAGGAAATTGCATTTGTTCCAGAAGTTTGCGCCTATGTGCAACGACCCGACCAGTACTGTATTAATCAATCCGTCCAGTTTTCCTAAGAAACATGTTTTGAATACATCCTTACGCTGCGACTGAAGCCGCGTTCCAAGTGCGCGGGATTGTGAGTACGATGACCGTCAAATCGATGTAAATAAAACACGGCTCAGTCAAAATGGAATGAGATGATCTGTTGCATGCCGTCAGTGTCATTAACCAGCGGTTTGTCTACCTCCAGGATCTGTATCCAAAGAAAAAGTCGTCTTTAACCCGCGTTAGGGTCACAGACTGACCACCTCTAGGCTGTTTCTGCGAGGTAACGGCATTCTCACAGTACCATTCCTGAACAGCTTAACCCGTGAAGCGTAGATATGTCCGACATTGGGTACATCTTTAATTGCATTGAACCAAAACTGTGATGTAATTTCCTATTCACAAACGGATCATACTGCGTTCTCATGATCCTAGTTAGTTGAAGGAGGTGAGTTGGTGTAGTCGAAATAAATGATGTACATTTGCACCACCGGTCGGTATCCGACTTGAAACAGTTTGAAATGCGTAATGAGAGTTCCTAAGAATTTGCTAGCAAGTTATTGTTAAAATCATATTTGTCTGTAGCACATATTAACCTCAAGGGTAATAGGGCTTGGTCAAGTTGCACGTGGGCTACAAAGTACTGCGAGAATAACCGGACTTTTGAACTATAATGAGTTACAGTTTTAAATGGGCAGCTGGAACCTTCCATCTAAAGATTAAAACTCTCCTCGAAACGATCGAAATGCATAGCTAGAGGCTGAAAGTTAGTAGGATGAATATGGATGGTAAGAACAGCTAACCTTATCTCTGCCTTTCTCTATTAGCCTCTTTTTTGAACGTTCCAAACCTTCATCTAGCAGATCGACCAAGCGAACCGTTTCACCGGAACGAGTTTTGAACTTTTTCCTGCAAAAACGAAAAAAATCGAAAAAACTGAAGGTAGGCCGATCAAACGCACAATTATGGCTCACAAACAGGTGATTAAATTCAGGCTAAATGAAAAATTTATGACAAACCCAGAGCCAACACAGCCGAGCATCCCTTCCAAAAGAACCTTGATTGAAGAGATATTGCTTTGATAACTGAACATCGGTGATTACTAAATATATAATCATTCTCAAACGCACAATTATGGCTCACAAACAGGTGATTAAATTCAGGCTAAATGAAAAATTTATGACAAACCCAGAGCCAACACAGCCGAGCATCCCTTCCAAAAGAACCTTGATTGAAGAGATATTGCTTTGATAACTGAACATCGGTGATTACTAAATATAATAATCATTCACCTGTAACACCATTTCGGTGCATAGCTGCCATGCCATCCGAAGTAGGCACGAATTGCTCAAGCCCGGACAGGAACAGCCAATATTAGGGGGTTAGGTGCGAACCACGGACCCTTCAGTCAGTAATTTAGTGCCTCAACCACTGAGCTATGGCGAGCTGAAAAATCGCATATAGTATGAACTGCTATCCATGAGGATGAAGACAAATGATAAAAATGACTTATCTATCCGTTTCCTACTCTGCCTTAACAGGAACAGTTCGTTATTTCACCAAGGAGTGAATTGCAATTTCCATTCGTCGATCATGCACAAAAAACAAGAAATTCCTGCTACCATGTAAAGGCTGATCCATTCCCTTGTAGTCCGATTCATTAGCCGTCAAAACTATTCAGAAACTGATGTTCTTGGTCACACTTGAACGCCTGTCCCAACCCTTAAATGAGAAGGTGGTGTATCTAGCTGTACCTTATCAGATCAACTGCTCACTGACCTCCAATATCTATGGCAACCCACAGAGCAATGTCTGAGCCATAGCTTAACTACCGCTGCATACAACCGGATTCAGGTCCACATCCCAATATAGGTTGCTGCGTTGTAAAAAAAAGCGTTCAGCTGTAGCACCCTTTTGGTACCTAGCTGCCATGCTACCCGAAGGAAACACGAGGGCTGGGATACTGCCAGGTCGCCCGAGCCTAGACAGGGGAAGTCGAGTGGCGGAGGTCGGATTCGAACCAAGGACCTTCCGGTCAGTAAATTCGCGCTCTAACCACTTGGGGCCATCTCGCCCTTGCTGCGTTGTACGTGCAGTGACTTTATTGCAGTTGTTGGAACACTGTGGGCTATGGATCCGTTTGCATAACCTCGAAACTTTTGGAACCCATGTATCAGCTAGTTGCTTGTTTCTGTGATGATTTTCAAAAGAATAGAAAAACCGCCCGCGAAATGAATGTCACCAGAGATTCCAAACGGCTGAACGATTTGATTGGATTTCACTATGGTCGAATACAAACGAAAGGCAAACAGTAGGTCAAAGAAGAGTACGGTAGCAACCTTCGACAGCATACATAATGGATGGCGGCATCGTGATCAAGATAAAGGGTACATTGTTGATGCCTTCTGAATCGCCACTTTAGATTATCTTGAGTGATGTTGATGTGCCTGTGGGAAGTTCTACGTGTGTATTCTAAAGACTGTGATTCGTATATATTAAACTAGATTTCTTTGGCCATAGCCGGAAACGTAGCTCCATAAACAGGATTGCTTGTGGACCACTTGGGCTAAGGTATGCAACGAAGTAAAATAAACATGTCTCCATCAGGGTTAAGTAAAGCAGTCTATCTTAAGGTCTCCTTAACTCTAATACTGAACACGATGTTTCAGGGAACAAACAAACTAGAAGTCTCACGGCATTCTCTCGGTGGAGTCACAGACTCAGCGGGAAATAAGGTAATAAATATTTTTCATAAATTCGCACGGAACTTCACAGACTAATAGCTTCAACTCGAAAGCCCATTCCTCCCAAACAACTAAAGTGGCAACGTTTCTACTAACCTAAAGAAACTTCTCAGAAAAGTGCGAAAAGGAATATCGAGACAGGACTAAAGCAATAGAAGAGGAAACGTGCTAAATGGGCATCTGTTACAAATCTATAAGCATATTTGAAGACCCACAAAAAATACACCGCAGTCACATGCGGCGAGAGACATCATCTCAACGTACTTGGTGCCAAAATCATCCAGAAAGCTTATCTTATCACAACCGAGTGCACATGAAAATCTCACCATACAAGGTATTCGTGTCAGAAACGGTGCGATGGAGGATAGTAGTCACGTGAATCAATGGATCTGGGATAAAAGTCATGCCAAGAATTGGCATGAGAATGTGTCTGCATCAACAGCGTTTTTATCATAACAAGATGTGATTCACAACTTGAGTTACAATTCCACCAAAAGGAAAAAAACACCAACTAATTCCCGACAAACAGATCCACTCACTTGTCTTCACCAAGGACAACACCGAAAGAAACATGTTCCACCCGATGAACGCTGCGTTTATAGAATCCAACCGCTTCGGCAGCAGACCACAAAGTATTGAAGTGAAGGGCCTTCCAAAGGAAAACAAAGTGGATAAGAGTACTAGTTAGCGAAACCAGGGTTCTGGACCAACATAGTGGCTGAAGAATGCAAGCAAAAGATGTGGACAAATGAGATGGAGAGTTAGTCGGTAGGCTTCGTGGTTGTGTGAGCTGTAAGACAGCACACCTCTGCAAACAGGGCGAAAATGGTGGTTTAATGAGTCGATATGGTAGTCGTATTAAGGTGAACACAATCCCACTTTTTACTGAATAGAAATTTCAGTCACCATGACACACATATGAATCTGTCCGCAAACCAACACCAGAATGTCCGGAGCTCACTGGAAACCCCTAACCACAACAAAATTCCCTCAGGAAAGCCGAGCCTCCGGGCCAGAAAGGCCACTTATCGATTGAACTTCAAGCAGCCAGCGACGACTGAGGATAATCGAGTGCTAAGACATAAACTAGGGGCGATGCCAACCTATCATTGAGTATTGACCGGAAAGGGGCGAGATCGCCTAAGTGGTTAGAGTGCGAATTTACTGACCGGAAGGTCCGTGCTTCGAACCCGACCTCTGCATCTCGACTTCCTTCGTCTAGGCTTGGGCAACCTGGCCGTATCCCAGCCCTTGTGTCTCCGTGTGGCATGGCAGCTAGGCACCAAAAGGGTGCTACAACTGAACTATTTTTTTTGGAATTTTTTATTGACCGGGAAGCCTCGATTCAGCGTGAAAAGATGCGCCATAAATAATACGATGACCCTTATAATTTCGCACCCGCTTATTCGCAACAAAGCTGCTAAAACACCAAGGTTCTGGAGCCGGGGTTTGCAGTCATATACCACAAAATAATGTGTGAAGTAGAGCAGCGCAGCCAACCCATCAAAAGGTCAATCGTAACCACGGACTACCACCTTGATCTGGCGTTCGAGCCTGGGCGTTGCAATGACCTCGTGGGCAACACTGATTGCAACTTCGTTATTCAAGGCACACCCATGCCAGGAAGGTCAAAGGGGAGTGGCCGAACAAAGAGTAGCGGGTCCCTCATAATAAGTGACGTAATTCGAGTCAACATGCGGTAGAGAATGCACTTTTTCGTCCTGGTGTTGCCCCATTTATGGAAGCTACGATGCCACCTTTCTTCGAGGAGGAACGGAGTCCAAATGGTCTACCATAAAAAGCGAACACTCCAGTCACTCAGAGGTTGACCTAGACCGCCGATACCCAAATACGGCAAGAACAATTCAAAAAATAGTCCAGTGCAGTTCTCAAAGCCCCTATCGTGTGCATGCGGAGGTCGGGCTGGCCTAACTCTATGCAATCTCGGACTACGAAAGTCCCTAGAAATCGGTTGAGCTGTAGCACCCTTTCCGTGCTAGCTGCATGCCGAAGCAGGGATACTGCCAGGTTGCCCAAGCCTAGACAGGGGAAGTCGAGCATCCGTCAGTAATGTTCTAGCTTTGGTTTGAAATTTCAAGAAAGTCGAGCTTTCAGTTCAGTTATCCCCACTCATGGAAACCGTCTTGGGGGATGGCTTGTCTGGAAGAAGACTTTCTTACTAACTGAGCTTAGGTTTCGCTGTATTTTGCATCCAAGATATCCAAGATAGTTCATTTCAGAGGAAACGGACGCATTGCCGTCTCCATGCAGTTACCAGATAGCTTGCAACCTTTTCGAGAGGAATGTCGTCAAAAACTGATCTTTGATAGTTTACATCAGTAAGTCGGATAGGGAAGGAAAAAATAGTAAACGTAAGTGTTTTAGCAGGAAAAGCAGCAGGTTCTTCGGAGATACTAATGGTCGTTTGAGGCTAAACTGGACATTCTACCAGGCACCAATGAGCTCTTTCATGTTGAAGTTCAAGGTTACTAGCAGAAATGGTCCAATCACGCAGTCAGTGGCACTGGTGCATCAAAACTGTCTCCTTCGACGCGTAGCCACCCAGTTCTCGAATTAACTGAACATGCCATTGCAACCAATGCTTGACTGTATCCCCCACACTGTCACAATTTTCGGTGATCGAAACTTTAGCAGCTAGAACCAGTGCATCCATGACATATGGTTTATAGCTGATAAATTGAAACCGAGTGCCTTTACCGCGTTATCCTTAAATGCGAGTTAACAGATCCGAGTGTATCTGATTAATCGCAGGATATCCCACTACTGAGCTCTGGCACCAACCAAAGCTTTTTTGATAAAAATAGTTCAAAACCGCAGATCTGAGTCTCAGAAGTCAGCTGTTCATCCATGAATATCAGTAACCAGTTACGATCACTCGCGGAAACAATGTGCTATGCTTTTAATAGGTTACCAAATAGTGTCACAAATTCGGTGCCCTGCTGGTTCGGTCTTATTCGTGAAAAAACACAAGTTCCCAACAACAAATCAATAAATGTAGTGAAATTTGTCCAAATAAAAACGCTCACCTGACCAGCGTCGACCACGTAGATTACCCAGTCGGCCTTCTCCTCGTGTATCCGATGCAACAAGGCAGTAAGATCAGATGTGTCATACGTAAATCCACCATCAGACTTGACAATCGTCAGTGGAACGTCACAGTTAGGAGCCCAGAGTATTTTTCTACCCTCGTCTAACTGCAACATATTCAGAGTCTCCAGATCTCGCACCATATCATGCATTCGGGATTGATAAAACGACTCGCCTCGTTCAACAAGATCCCTAATGTCCAACCTATCGTAGACCTTTTGAAATTCTACGAAAGCAGAAAAAATAATTCAGTTCAGTTGACTAGAAATCTAAAGACTGTCGTATGAACAGAGACGTGGAAAAGCACTTCCCACGTGCGACAAATGAAATATGTTGATTTTCAAGAGAAAAGAGCTTTGACAGTTGCGCCAGATTACGTTAGAACGCATAATGGCGAAGTTGCAGGGACACTATTCCAGCCATCTAATACTCTTCTCCAACCCCTAAACCAGCACCACAGACCGAAAATCGTTAAACCCAACCACTTGGTTCGACTGGTTTCATTTCCAATCAATTTGGCAGGACAAGCCCCATATTAGTCAATTGCTGGCACACCGTACATGAAACAATGGTGATTACCGAAGTTCGCCTCCGCAAAATTTGGACGGGTTTCATGCAAGGGAAATCGAGGTTTATGGGGCTTCGGACACAACACGTGGACCGTCTTGTGGGTTCTAAGACACCAAGGTTAGACCTGACATAATTAGGTGATAAAGGAGCTACCATTTACGGTTTCATGTTCAGAAGTACGTACAACACTCGGAATCGACGGGAGATCAAAGCTCACTTAAACACATACAGAAGCGATGCAAGCTCCTTCAGTGTGGTCCTCTGAGATCCATACGCCTATTCACTGCGTCCCCATTTCGTCTCAGTTAGTCTGATGGAAATCCAATCCTAGCAGGCTAAACTAGTACTAACTATGAACCTTAGCGGGTTGTTTGGAAGCGAATCTGGCGGGCGTCACAGTGTTCATAATGACAAGGTCCACAAGAAAACACAAGCCATCGCAAATGGACTGCTTCAGCCAACCACATGATTGGTTGGTAAACCAGCCACTATTCTTCTGAAGACTGGGCTGAGGTATCTTTGTCTGAGCAGAAATCGACAAAGAACACAAGTTTATATCCCTTCTAATCCAGGCTTCACGCCCAAAGAGAAATTATTTGAAGCATGCTGCAAGCCTACTAGCTCCAAAAGCTACTGCACCTAACACTGGGTAAAAACTGAATAATAATTTGAAGGCTCACTGGTAAAACATTTGACCGTTTGTCGTGGCACTTTAACACAAACTGAATGAAAAGTTTGTGAGGCATGACGCTGAAAAATTCCACCCTTGAAAACCACTCCTCACCCGTAAAACCAAGCTGTTGTCGCAAACAGATTGACCCACAAATTCCTTGCGTGTCTATACGATGGGTTGCGGGATCTAGTTCCAGACTCACTCTCAGACTTTTCCTGATACCAAACAACACGAAGGAGCCATTAGGGCTGATATGATGACATGTTACCCAAGCAGGGACAGAAACACCCGAGAAACAGAGGGATGAACTCGAAATACCGACCTCCCCGTCAGCATCTTTTCTGCTTCACACATACATATCTCCAATCCCTTGTAAGCTGGTGCCGACCTGCTGAAATAAGACCGAGGGTTATCGGGAAAATCCCTTGGAAGAGCATGGGCTTGCTTAACTGAAAGTCTGTTATAATAAACCCACATAAAAACAAATAAATAAATACCCGGATTCTGCAGGGAATACCTCAAAAGAACTCGTAGTCATTAAAAATCACAAGCCACAAGCAATAAACAGCAGTAAGATGATATGTGTAGTACTCCCTAAAAGGAGACCGCGAAATATTGTGGTGGGCAGCTTCCCCCAGGGTATAGCCTCTCTTGGTGAAGGGGTTGCATACTAAATGAGGACTGACAAGGAAAGCCACCGTGAACTCCTTCAGTCAGACGAAGGGGTCACTCTAGGCCCATTAAGTGTGGCTTAAAGTAGACTTTCATAAAAAGTCATGCGACCTGAAATCCTACAGAAACATTAAAAATCAGGTGATCCAGGTTTATCAATATTCTTGGTAGAACAGTACCTTACAAGGTTTATTCAATTTTCATTCAAACCACCAGATCATGTGCCTTTTACGGATATTACGAAACAAAAATCGAACGCGACACCTGACTAGGACCATTAGAATAAATTGTGGAATAAAACGAAAGTGCGTAGCAGAGACAAACCCAACGACCGCAGGACAAATTAACTAGGTAATCAAACGCCCCACAAAAGAGATAGCTACAAATAATACTAGAAAGTATCTTATTTTGTTCGGGAAAATGTGTTTAGCGTGTTGAAGGAAGCAGGTAGTGGAAACCTATCAGCAAAAATGAACAAATGGAACGATGGTGGCCAAACGAGCTGACCAATATGTTCGGATGAGCCGGATATAGTGTATCTACCATTAATGTTGACGTTTCTAACAATGCGAATTCGTCATCTTTTCTATCCCTATCGCCAAGGTCTGTGCAAAAAACAGCGGTAATCTGATTACTAAATAAAAAGGATGAAGTCTGATACGAAAGAAAACGAGCGTGGGGATCTTTCCGATATTGACCATTACACACGGAACCAGCGGTAAACCAATTAAAGGAAACCAGAAAATGAAAGTAGCAATATGAAGTGACTTTTAAAGTGATTTTTACACGCACAAATGATTTTCACCTCCTCAAAGGTAATTTGAAGTGAGGCTCGATGGCAAACGGGTAGTGCTTCGTACGCGCTATTCGCTTCACTTCCAGAGCAGGGTGCACAGCTTGCACAAACGCCTTCTGAATGCACAAAGTCAGTCTATGGATGTGGGTCCCCACAGCTTCAGTCGTGGACATTATTCTTATCCAAGTTCTTCGTGGTAACCCTGGGGCCACCTTGATATGTGAGAGTAGATACCGTCCCAGAATCGGCCCGATGCTTGTTATTATTATCATTATATTATTATTATCGTCATCTTCCGCTGTAAAACCTCGCACTTGTTGTACAGTGGCATTAGCTGCAACAGTTTCATTCGCTGGCGACCCGAGGAGAGAGGGATGGATAGCTACATATCGAAGGTAGTAGCTGATGATTGAATCCACGAGTGACGCTGGACTTTTCATTGATGAGACCGGGAGAGAAAGCCATGCACTGAAAGCAATAGACCGGATGCATGAGAACCACTGAGCGCGCGACTGGGCTATGTCAGTCAACGTATAACCATCAATGAGTCCTGAGGGCGGGATGTTCATCGAGGGAGAGGACAATGACCAACACAGTAAGTCTCTTGATAATGGTTCTCATACTTCGCTGCCAAGTCATTGCCCAACTATCTCCGGCTCGTTTGCACCCTTCATGTGGTTGTGCGAAGAGGGTTCTCTGAGGAATCCGGCTGATTGGCACGCAGAGCACTTGACCAATCCAGCGAAACCTGTGAAGTGTGATCAGTCAATCTATCATGAGCGAGTTATTCCTTCAAATCCACCGGACGTACTTCAGCATTACTGATTCGATGTTACCACTAGACTAGAGAAATCCTAAAAAGACATCGACAGTCAAACACTAAAAGCGCTTTAACGTCTTCATGTCGTCAATGAATATCGGTCCGATGTCCTGCCTGTAGTCGATGAGTTACGTGTTCGTGCCCATCCCTGGATTACTTTAGAATGGGTGGACGCCCGCTTGCATCCCATTTTCGTTTATCTGCCTCCTTCATAAGAGAAAATAAACTGGTAAACACACCGAGCTGGCTTGACGAGGTAGTTGACTGTTAACATTAGAACCTCTGAGCAGATTCCAGAATTCACAAGGCGTCAGTTAAATTCGTGCCGGAAATGAGTACGTGTATTTCTATGACTGTACAAAATTTGGCCTTGAACGGGTGCCCTAAATTTTACCTCGATCGGGCTACCTGGTTTCTCAACGATCAGTTGTCGCCGCCCCTTCATCGCAAATGCGACTTGCACGACCAAACATGTGAGAAACTGCAGAGTATTGACGGAGAATCACCTACTTGACCGAGTGGCCTACTACGATGAATTATTGACAGCAGGTTTATCAGGTCGGATGTGACAAATGTGTCTGACCTTAAGGCAGTTGCAGGCGCATACAGTTGCTATGGTGACGTCCAGCAACCGGAGTGGTTAATTGGATGAGTCTAAGGTTTCAGCGGACAAACACGTATAAACGTTTCATCAGAGGTTGAACAAATCTAGAATGCAGTACACAACCTTCATTGTGGATGGGGATGCTTCAGTGAAGGAAACCCAAACACAACGATCAATCCGACATCTGTGGAGATTTGTTGACTTTGTCCTGGGTTTAAAAATGTGCCAACGGAATACGCACTATGTTGAATGCATTCACGCCGCTCATCGATGGCATTATTTTACGATATGAGGGGCGGCACATTGCCATTGACATTGTGAGTGAGTGTATTCACCGGACTACAATACGTAAGTTGGCCTTAAAAGACGTAATGCTGTGGGTAACGATTTTGGAGCATAAATGCTCCGCAATGACCCCAAAAGATCGGTTCTTTCTGATCAAGAAATTTCTTCGTTACGACCACGGGGATAAAGGTTGGTTGCGCAAACCAGTAGAAGCATTTGAGTCTGTTCGCGCGGTATCGGAATCTTTCACATCTAGTCGATTTGCTTATTCGTCTGACTTAAGTTGGACCGGCTGCTCGGGGCTCCGAAAATTCAGATCTTTATGTTTACGTTGTTTTGAAACTTTGAAGTAACATAGTAACACCTATTCGTGATTTACCAGCGTTCAGTCAACGACAGACTGGTGTGATTTTTTAAGGAACAAGCCCCCCGACCTGGAGGACCAAGAGACAATCCACTAACCAGCTTGGTCTGATGCAACGGGTACTTCCATTGAAGAATTTGCCCAGCACTAAAAGCTGCTTTGTTTGGGACACGTGTTGTGTATGCCGAAGAGAGCTCTGTTTTCCATGCCCAACCCAGAGTGGCGTAAACAAGGATTTGTCAACCCGTGACTTGGCAGAGAAGTATGAAGGAGATCACGAAACGCTTGGGTGCTGTCGGTGCTACTCGCCTTCCAGGATGGGGACCGCGTGATCCTCACTGTGCCTGGTTGGAGACGCTGAAAGATACGCCGGCCAACCGATGACAGTGGCGTTTTTGTTGTCAGTTTCTATCCAGATCGCCTGAATTAGTGTCTGGCACCTTGGAATGGTTGTAGTAAGTTAGCATTAAGTCCCTTCCTCATCCACCTTTATTGCTTTTTTCACATTAGAGCTTCCAAGTAAATCAGCAGCGAAGCATCGATGTTGAATACTGATGTCATGCTGTCGATGATGATGATCTTGTTGCAGATTCGTCGACACCAGCTTACACGGGCTCTGAGATACCACTAGCCCGTTTAGCAATGCTGTGTCGTCGCAAGTGATCCTCCTCAATATGTATTCTAGAGAAATTGCACCTTCCAGTGATAAATCATAGCAACACTAACTCCATGTGGTTAGCAATGCAATAGGTAGCAGTTTGTCGAAAGAGGAAATTCGAAGTTCAACAGAAGTCCATTACATATGTTTAGTTGCCTTAGTTCGGACAGGAGATTCCGATAGGATTTTTCCTTCAATTTAGTTGTGACCATGGTGTATGTTTCCAGAAATCATCAGCCACCATTTTTAATGGATCAATAAGCCCACCGTTATAATGGCTTCACCCTTTTCGACGAACTCTTGGTGCCTTGAACCTTTACTGAGCTGAGTGCCATTTGCCTTCAGAAGATTCATATATCCCTATCATTAGGTGTTTTCAGTGCAGCTGAATTAATGGCTGTACAAAAGTGCGTCCGTCGAGTAACCTGATGTGTCCAAGTTCCCGCAAGCCGGAAAGCAAACTAGCTACTGTTTGGCCTCCCTAAATCTTAGGGTTTTGCAGCGATTTATTTGACCGCACCTGTCTCTCACTGTTTGACACTGTTTGACAACAGACTAACTAATCGGGCTTGGGTGTCAGAACTTCCTGTTGCAAAATTGCCAGAGAGACATCAAGCGTTGTGCAAAGTAATGTTTACACACTTTGATTTCGAGCAAGAAGTAGGCCTTGCTGTATTACAGCAAGCTCGAAATAACCAAACTTTACCGGTCCGTTTTAAGGATTCTTATAACTTTTTCTATCGATTGAACGGTACAGGTTTCGGTGTCTAGACGAAGCAGTTCTTTAAGCAGGTAAGCACCCATTCGAGAGGGGGAAACAGACCGTAACAGGAAATAAGTTACCCGTTTGGTACGACACGCCAGTGAACATGTTCATATTTGTTTTCTAATCTTCTAATCAAAACTTTGAGTGTAAGAAGAAATAAAAACCTGTAAGTTCGGTGTGAAGAAGCTGTCATCACAAAATAGCTGGTGGAAAGCAACGTACCACGGCGGGATATCTCACATATCTGTTGCCACATGCGTATGTGATTTGGGTCGTGGCACTGTAGCTGCACAACTGCCTTGTAAGCGCGCGCTTTAAAGTCCTCATCCTCGTCGAATTTAGCCTTGGCTAGTTTGTAAAAAGCTTGCAGGTCTCCGATGGGCGGCACAGTCCGCACGTCAGGAAATGTCTCCTGCAAGTGTGCGATTAACATTCCGAATTGCGTCCCCCAGTCACCGATATGGTTTAGTTTCAGAACTTTGTGTCCCAGAAACGTCAACAGACGTGCGATCCCGTCTCCGATAATAGTTGATCTGTAATACGAAAAGAGAGGGAACCCGAAGTAGAATGCAGCAGAATCTGTTTCGAGTAGAAGCACTCTACCATTTACCGAAGAAAACAGTCTGTAGGTAAGTAGAAGAGAAAGAAACCACTGTAGGACAGCAAACTTATGGGATTGCAACGTGCGTCTACGAAGTCCTAGACAAAGTAACACTCATGGAAAACAGTAGGGCTAGCCATACTCTGATAGACAATTTGAGAAAAAAGGATTCGCTATAGGCACACAAAACATTACGTCCAAAGTATTCAAGTGTATGAATACGGTGGAACAAATTGTTTCGCGTTAGGATTTTAGCGGAGGACAGACATCCATACACAGGGAAAATAGCAACCACGATTAAAATACAGACTGGGGTTGAAGCTGCCGACGTTACACAATAGTTGCGCATCGCAATGAGCAAACAGTCAGTTAAATCCACCGCACAATCAAAACGATTAGTAATGAGCTTACCTCAAATGACCAACATGCATTTCTTTTGCAATGTTGGGCGAGGACATATCGATTATAACTGAATAATGGGCAGTTAATCGTGGCGGCTGAACACCATTCGTCAGTATTTTCTTCAATTCACTCAGCACAAAAGCTTTGGAGATCCGGATATTGATAAATCCTGGCCCGGCAACTTCCATCTATAGGAAAATGTGACTCCAGCAATGTATCTCACCTTTTCTATCAAGTCATTCTGTGGGAGGGCATCAATAATTGATTTTGCAATAAGAGAAGGGTTCGCCGTTGCATCAGAAGAGCCAAACTCCTAGTCCAATTAAACCACTTATCTGAAGCCTGTGCTTACCTTTGAAAGTCTGAGTGCACTGTTGCACTGCAGATCACCGAAACGGTCGTTATTCGGAACGGTCACCTGCACTTTATGACCTTTGTGATCAGGAAATGCAGTTTTCACAGCAAAGTCAAAAAACGCCTCGACTGCTGTTTGAAAACTTATGGAGTGGTTGGACATTTCAGCTTGGAGGGCTTTAGTGGTCTGGACCCACGTTAATAATGAAATGAATGACTCACTGATTCCAAGTGATTAATTCTGTAAAGTAGAGCATCTTTTCGGTCGTATAGCTGTTTGACTTTAAGGAATTGAGGTTCAGATAACATATCTTCAAACTCTCGCTCAAGTGTTTCTACACATGCAACCTATAATCGAAGAAGTGAGAACAAGATTGCGAGACCTCCGATTTGGCCATTTTTAAAGTTTGCACGATCGGAAATCGATTTCTTATTGATATCCGACAATTGTGGACGGTTCGGTAGAAACGAGTCGCACAACCTGAAACGGAAAGGTTTGTAAGCATTAAGCGAACCAAATGTGCAACTTGAAATGGTATCTTGAAATTATTTCATTCCGGTTTGCTGTGTACTGTAGTGTAATAGTGTCCCGAAAGGACGTAGTGGATCAGAGTGGGCCTGTGTCTGGTCACAGGTAAACTGGCTGATTTCTGTGCAGCAAATCGACGCTAGGTCACCTTGATGATCCATCTGGCGCCCGGTTTACACTTGACTGGTAACAACTCACTAGGGCTCAACGTCTGGTATCATGCCTCCTGCTCGCCCTACATTATGACCAGCTAGACAGTGGTGCTGAACAGGAACTGTCAGGTCTGAATGCGCTGTCTCATCCCTCAAATGTGTCGCCTTGGCTGGGTGCACAATGTTCATCTTGCGGCCGATGGGCGATGAACCCAGATGAATGAGAGCAGGGTGGAGGCGCAAGACCACATGCAGTGACCGCTGGGGCTGACTTCAAAGCCTTTGGGCAATGCGGATGGTTCCTAACTCCGCAACTATCGGTTCTATGTCGCCAAGCTGCTCGCTTACCACCAAACTAGTCCTGTCGCACAAGCAGCGAGTTGTGCCTAATTCGTCTGTGAACGGCTCGGACAATTGGCATGGATCGACGAGTGGAAATATCCCTTTGAACTTCAATTAGCCCATCGGCGGTTGTTACAACTGATGATGAAATAAAGTATCATTACCATCATCACCGAAGCCACGTAAATTTTAAACATTGATGATTCACTACAGTGAAGCCATATTTACTGTGAAACAATAAAAGTGGATGGAGAAGGGACTTATTGCTAGCGTACCACAATCATTCCGAGGTGGCTACACCCCCAGACACTCTGAGGAGAAAGCGACGACACGGATGCCACTGATGTTGAACAGCCATCGTATCCTTTAGAGTCTTCAACCATGCACGGAGGAGATCACCCAAGTCCTATCCTGGAAGGTGAGTCGCACCGACAGTATCCAGACTTCTCATGGTCGCCTTCATAACCCCTGCCCAGTCAAAAGTTGGCCACGTCTCCGTTTACTCCACTCTGATTTCGGCACAGAAAAAAGCACGCTTTTCGGCAAACGACCAAGCGTCATCGTGCTTCTGGTCCTGACGACTCTTCACCTGCTCTGTTCAAGAATGGCGGTGGATTCCTCAGTCAGTGCTTGTCTAGCATACTCAGGTCTATCTGGATAAAAAAAAATCGACTGTTGGAGACAGCTGGGGTAAATCGATATTGGTGTCCATTTTAAAGAGGGGTACTCAGTGAATGCAGTAACCACAGAGGTGTTAGTTTGGCTCGTGCTGTAACAATGTTTCTGGGCTCACTAATCCTTCGTCGTCCTACAGTGGCATGCAAAACCATGACTCGTGAAAATTAATCGGGATTTATAACTAGTAGACCACACTTCACGCTCCGTCAGGCGTCAGAGTAACGCCATATGTACAAAAGACCCAAAATATTGGTGTTCATTGACATCAAGGGTGCGTTTGATTCTGTCGATCAGCCGGTACCGTTAACTACGCTTGCTGAACGGAGTACGCCCCAGAAGCTTCGAACATAATCCGATCCCTATATTCACTTACCTCTGGGTGTGTGAGAGTGTATACTGAGCTGTCCAAAAGCTTCCCGTAAGGATGTCCACTTTCTCCACTCCTGTTCAACTTCGTCACTGATGAAATACTGAGGCGAACGATGGGAGGTCTTCAAAACCCAGGTGTTCAAATTATTACTGGTGAGGACCTTGTCGATCTGGAGTACGTAGAAGACATCACCCCCAATGAAGACAAGGGTGTAGCACAAGCCCAGCTGAATTTGTTGACGGCCGTCATACCACCATTCAACGTGCGCCTAGTAACTTCAGAGTGCAAAGTCATTCTTCAGAACGTACAGGTGTCCATTTTAAAGAGGGGTACTCAGTGAATGCAGTAACCACAGAGGTGTTAGTTTGGCTCGTGCTGTAACAATGTTTCTGGGCTCACTAATCCTTCGTCGTCCTACAGTGGCATGCAAAACCATGACTCGTGAAAATTAATCGGGATTTATAACTAGTAGACCACACTTCACGCTCCGTCAGGCGTCAGAGTAACGCCATATGTACAAAAGACCCAAAATATTGGTGTTCATTGACATCAAGGGTGCGTTTGATTCTGTCGATCAGCCGGTACCGTTAACTACGCTTGCTGAACGGAGTACGCCCCAGAAGCTTCGAACATAATCCGATCCCTATATTCACTTACCTCTGGGTGTGTGAGAGTGTATACTGAGCTGTCCAAAAGCTTCCCGTAAGGATGTCCACTTTCTCCACTCCTGTTCAACTTCGTCACTGATGAAATACTGAGGCGAACGATGGGAGGTCTTCAAAACCCAGGTGTTCAAATTATTACTGGTGAGGACCTTGTCGATCTGGAGTACGTAGAAGACATCACCCCCAATGAAGACAAGGGTGTAGCACAAGCCCAGCTGAATTTGTTGACGGCCGTCATACCACCATTCAACGTGCGCCTAGTAACTTCAGAGTGCAAAGTCATTCTTCAGAACGTACAACCTCCGGACACACCTGTTGTATCTCTTCACCTGCCCTGACGCTACTGTTGTATAGTCACAAGACAAGAAGACGACCTGAAGGAACTGTGTATTAACGCAATTACAAACTTCTATATATATGATTCACTTGTCACCGTATTTGATAGTCGATACGCTGTCAACCAACCAGTGTGTCTCCCACACACCCACACTGGTTCTCGGTTGATCATAGATGGCCGTCTGTGCGCTTGTGTACGGCCAAGGAGTGGGTGTGAACTTTCTGTGTCCCTATTTGACCTTTCTCCGGCACATGATGAAATCGGACTTGATTCAGACGTGGGGGCATAATCGTACGGGTCTGTTTCACATGATTGTTCCGCTGCGCAGTAGGTTGATGCGCAGCCGTATTAACACCCTTAAAAATTCGAGCAGAATCACTGGAGGTTGTGGATAGCTTTACATACCTTGGTGGCCGCATCAGCTCTGACGGGAATGTCTGATGAAGTCATTGTGAAAATCTCTAAAGTTTGAATCATGTCTGCTAATTTGTGCCCTCAATGGCGCTCATGAATCCAAGCTACTGCCTTCAATGCATAGCTACTTTCCGACTCCCCCCACTTGACCGTCCACCTACAGTGTGGCATTTACGCACTGCTCCCGCTTCCAATGCGCAGCTACCTACCTCACCTCCCCAAATCATCGGTGAACGAAACTGGCAGCTACAATCACTGTACGACAAGTACACGGTTATTACAGCTGACAATGATGGCGATGAATTTGCATCACATGTGGCGACAAAAAGGTATATCACGAGGTCATAAGGGTCGCGTGTACTAGGGCTGCGTTGTTGTATGGCTGCGAGACGTGACCCCTGCGGAGAGATGATGTGAGGCACCTTGACCACCGATGCCTCAGAAGCGTTTCTGGTTTTGGATGGCGTCAGCAGATTAGTAACGATGTGAGTAGAAAACGGGTAGTTGGTTGTGTAGCAGGTACTTCAACCGAGGAAAACATCCAGTACCATCAACTGCTTAGTTATGTGCTACGCATACCAAAACAAGGTCTACCGAGACGAGTGTTGTACTTCGTGTCTCCCTTAGAATGGCACAAACCGCGAGGACGACAACGTATGACTTGCCAGAAGGGTGTGAAAGATTACAAGAGTTTGGTTGTTGATGTTGCACGCCTTCCAGGATGGGGTCCTCGTGATCCCTCCTGTGCTTGGCTGAGGACATTGCAAGAAATGGCGGCTGATCGATACCTGTGACATTCGTGCTGCCAGTTTCTTTACAGATTGTCTGATTGAGCGATTAGAGGTGTAGGCACCACAGAATGCATGCGAGGGGCCATCACCAGGTTTCCTGCCTCGCCTACTTTCTCTCTATTTTCACTCTAAGGCTCTAAATATAACTTGATGAACTTTATGGTTGCACGGTGGTGAAGCATCAGAGTCAACACTGATGCTGCTGTCTCTGATGATGACGAAACGATCAAATAACATGCGCAATACATGCTCAAACCATCACAGCTTTTGATTCTGGATATATTCTTCGACTGAAGCCCTCATTGAGTAAACGAACCGTTGTTTCCTGGTTCCCCCTCTAAGGATTCGCCGGCATCAGCCTAAAAGAGCTGTCGTTCTGGGACAACGGCTTTCGAAGACAAGATGACGTCCAATGTCTCCAAAACACGTTGCACCACACGTTGGCCGTGACCTACGGCACACTATGCAGAAGGTACCTTGCTGTGTGCAGCCGGATTAAAACAGTCATGCCTTACTCTCTACACCTTCGGGCCAGGAAAGTCAAGTGGGTCAAACTAATGAGTCCAGTCCAAACTAATGAGCCAGTCCACCGGAACGTATACAGCTGCCCAGGCACAGAAATTTGTCTACCACGTCGATCGTTCCACCTGCAAGCATAAGGTGTGAGTCTGATCCCACCCAGTCTTGTAGCAGCACTTCACACTTCGCAGGTGTGAAACGCATGCTAAACCAAAATTATTTGGGTTGTTTAAAATCGTCTGCATTTTTGAAGGATCTGAACCAAGGAGAGCAATACCGTCTCCATGCTCATTGTTTGTGAGGGAATGTTCCGGGAGCATTTCGACTCCCGAGGTTTAGGAGGCAGGCAGAGAAGTTTCAAGCAGCATATCAATAAAAAAGTTAAAGAGGAAAGGGAAGGAGAACAGCCTTGTCTTACACCACTGGACACGGTAAACTCAGGCGAAAGCTTCCCGTATACTCGTACGCGCTCCCAGGAGTTCGCACACAGTGCCTTTATAAGTGAGAGAAAT